TGATCAGGGAAGTGTAGCGGAAAGCAGTGGAGCAAGAACAGGGGGCAGCCGTTCAATTTTGTGAAAAGAGGAATGATGAGGAAACGAAGGAGGAGGAGGAGGAGGAGGAGGAGGAGGAGGAGGAGGAGGAGGAGGAGGAGGAGGAGATGGTGTGGAGGAGGAGGAGTAGGAGGAGGAGGAAGAGGAGGCAGGAGGAGGAGAGGGAGGAGGAAGGAGGAAGAGTAGGAGGAGGAGGAGGAGGTAGAGAGGATGAGGAGGAGGAGAGAGAGGAGGAGGAAGGAGGAGGAGGATGAGGAGGAGGTCGGATGAGTAAGGAGGAGGCGGAAGAGGAGGAGTGATGAGGTGGAGGAGGAGGGAGGAAGAGAGGAGAGTAGGAGAAGAGGAGGAGAGGAGAGAGGATGAGGAGAGGAGGAGGAGGAGGAGGAGGAGGAGGAGGCCATTTTGGGTCATTTTTCTGTTCGGCCCCCTGGCGCCCTGCCCGCGGACAAAACCAGGTGCCGTCGAAGCGGCGGTCACGCCGCGCCGCCGTCGCCGAAGGGCGACTCCCTGCCTGCCGCCACGCGCGCCCGCGCCCAGCGTGCCGCGGCGGCGGGCGAGGCGAAACCGTGGAGCGCGGCCGCCTGCCAGACGTCCGCCACGGCGGGCCGCAGCCCCCAGCGCGGCGGCCGCCCAGCCCCAGCGGGGGCCCCAGCGCCGCCCGCCGCGCCAGCGCCGCCGTGGAGCACCGCCGCGAGCCGCGCCTGCTCCTCCTCCGTGGGCGCCTGCGGGGCCAGGAGCCGAGCCTTGCTCTTCGGCTCCTGCAGGCGCATCAGGAGCCGCCTCGCCTCCGCCGCCCGCTCGCCAGGGGCAGGCCGCCCCTTGCAGCTGCCCAGCAGGCCAGTCCCTGCAGGAGGGGACCTCTTCCAGAAGCGGCAGCCGCACTTCAGGCACCAGGCCATGGCCCCGTCACCATTCTCGAGGCGCGAGACGACGATGCAGTGCCCGCGCACCTCCCGCGTCACGCCTGCTCCAGCCACAGCTGCCTGCAGCTCGGGGGCAGCCACAGCTGCATCCACGAGCTCTACGGCGGCGGCCCCTGCGGCGGCGGCGGGCGGCTGGCCGAGCTCCGCGCCCGCAGCGGCCCCAGCAGCAGCAGCAGGCGCCTGGCCGTGCTCGAGCTCGGCCTCGAGCGCCGACGCAGCCACCTCCGCGTCGGCCAGCTCCGCCGCGTCCAGCGCCGCCTGCGGGATATCGTAGACGAGGTCGGCCGTGCCCACCACCCCGTCGGAGTCCAGCTTCTCGTGGTCCACCATGGTGGCGGCCAGCTCGCCGACCCAGCGCCCTAGCTCCTCCGCACGCCAGGCGCACGCCTGGAGGAACCAGACCAGCTCCTCGTCGATCGGCCACAGGGCGGCGCCTCTCTTGGCCCACAGGTCAGCTGCCCTGTTGCCTTTGATCATGAGCTCCTCCTCCCAGGTGGACGCCGCGGCGAGCGCCTTGTGCGCCTTGACCTTGCGCACTGTGGCCGACGGGGCAGGCCCTGCCCACCGCTCCTGCCACAGGTGGCGGCGCGCCTGCAGCGGCGCGAGGGCCTTGCCCCCCGAGAGCGCCAGGCCGACCGTGCCCGCACAGTCGCCGAGGACCTCGAGGCCCGAGCCGTCGTCCGACGGCTGACAGAACTGGGCCAGCATGTGGAACGCGTAGTCCTCGCCGTCCCCGGCCTCCTGCTCGGGTCCGTGCATCCACGGGGCGATGCCGTGCATCCCGCCGATGACCTCCCCGCTGAGGCCGATCTGCACCACCGCCCAGCCAGCGCGGCGGGCCCCTCGCAGCGCAGGGAACCTGGCGCTGCCGTCCACGTAGACCCTGCCCGCGAACTTCGAGCCAGGCGGCACGCCGAACCAGCGCGGGGCCGCGAGCGCAGCGTCTGCCGCCGCGGGGAAGGCTGGGGCAGGGTCGGGGCAGAGCGCACGCGCGAAGAGCTCCGCCGCGGCGTCCCCGCGCTGCGCCACCAGCCGTGCCCCCTCCAGCAGCTCGGGCGAGCGCGCGTCCCGCCGCAGCGGCTGCCAGGCGTCGCGCTCGAAGGCCCTGTGCCGCAGCGTGCCGCGACCTCTACTGAGGCGGCAGAGGCCGTCGCGCGCCTTGCCCTCCTTCCAGAGGCGCTCCTGCGGCCAGTGGGGGCCGCCAAGGACCGCCGCGAGCGCGCGCCTGTGGCGGGCCTGCCGAAGCGGCGGCGGCGGCGCGGGCCCCTGGCAGCCTGCGCCATGTGCGGCCTCGGCGGAGGCCTGCTCCTCGGGGCGGGGGCTCGCGTGAAGGAGGCGCTCCAGCCCCTTCCAGTTCACAGGCCGTGCCCAGGCGCCAGGCCCGCGCAGCCGCTGCAGCGCGAGCACATCCGAGGCCAGCAACGCCGACGTGCGCACCACCTGTACCAGCATGCCAGGCGAGTAGAACTCCAACGAGGAGACCCGCGCCTGCCAATCGATGACGGCATTGTAGGCCACCATCTCGCAGCCGACCCGCCTCAGCGCCAGCGCACGCGCCTGTGCAGGGTCGCGGCGCTGCCCCCAGGGGCGGCGAAGGTCCAGCAGGCCTTGCGCCCCGAGCCGGCGCTCCTGCATCACCGCGGCGCTGGGCAGGCCCGTCTCCAGCGTCATGCCCCAGGAGCGCGCCACCTCTACCGCGTGCACCACGAAGGGGTCGCGGTAGGCGGCGCCGTGCTGCGCCCGCAGCCGCAGGCCAACGCTGGCGCCCATGGGCAGCCTGCCCTCCGCGCGCATGGCGGCGACCCGCAGGCCGTGCAGCTTCCCGCGGGCGAGGCCCGTCACCGCGGAGCCCCAGACGGCGGTGGCTGTGGGGCCCCACCTCTGGATGTGGCCCACCTGCGCACCGGCGCTGCGCAGCAGGCGCGCCCGCGCACTGACCGCCGCCGCGCGGCCGAGCCGCGCGTCCTGCTCGCCCGCGCGCCTCCAGCGCCCGTCGGTGGCGTCGCCGCCGAGGCAGCGGGCGCCTGTCCAGCGGGCCAGCGGCCCTTGCGCCCAGCAGCCGTCCAGCGCGTCGCCCAGGTCCCCGCTGTTCACCAGGTAGCCCGTCTTCGCCTCCGAGATGACCAGCCCCTTTGCGACCAGGCCCTCGATTGATGATAGGAGTTTGTAGGGTGGAAGGGGATGAGTGAGGGGTTGAAGAGGATGTGGGCGTGGGCGGGGATGGGTAGGGGAGGGAGGGGGGGGGTGGGGGGAAGATGGAGGGTGGGGTGAGTGGATGGGGGGGGGATGGGGCAGATGTGGGACACAAATAAAAAAAAATACAAAAATTTGGGGGGGAATGGTGTGGGAGGATTGAGGGCAGCCATGGCCCTGGGTAGCTGCTGCACCACCTGAGCCTCGCCGCCGACCGCCTGCAGCAACACGTCGTCAACGACGTTCTGCAGGCGAACCACAGGGTTCCCGCGCACAATCTTCACGGGGAGGGTGTGCACCAGCAGCTTGGCCAGCCCGACCGCCCCGCTGCATCCCGCCACAATGGTGCCGTTCGCCTCGAACGGCTTGGAGACCGAGCCGCACCACGACACGCGACGCTGCGTGCAGTACGACACGCAGTAGCACCGCAGCAGCGCGAGCGGGAAGCCTGTGGCGACCGCCTGCACGCGCAGGTCCTCATGGTTGACGTGCTCGTAGAACTTCGCCAGGTCGGTGACTCCTGTGGCCGCCGAGAGGCCCCTGCTGCGAGCAAAGGCCGCCAGGAGGTTGTGCACCACCCCCGCGCGCTCGCACGGGCACTCCGACGTGCCCCAGAAGGCAGGGTTCTGCAGCGAGGCCTCCCAGCGGGCCACCAGCGGCTGCCGCATCCTGCTCCAGACCCTCAACCAGATGGCCGTGAGGCCGATCGGTCGCTGGCCTCCAGTAGCCTTGGGGATGAACACCACGATCAGCTGCCACAGCGCCTCCCGCGTGGGCCCCCGCTCCCAGGCCATGAGGAGCTCCAGGAAGCGCTGCCCGTAGGACCGCGGGAGGCGCAGCAGCTGCTTCGGGTGGAGCATATCCCATCCAAGGCCGCACCCCTCGCGGTAGGTGCCCAGGACCCGCTCCAGGTCTCCGAGCTCCAGCGGCGGCAGCACCGACTCCTGGATGTCCCAGTCCTCGGGCGCCACCTCGCCAGCGCGCGACGGCTGGATCCAGAGAGGCTGCCACGCCTTCAGCAGCGCAGCCACTGCGGCCTCGCCCGCTACAGGCATGCGCGGGCCGTCGTCACCGTCTGCGCCCGCGTGCACCACCGTGGGCAGCACCGTGACCTGCTTGATGAAGCGGTAGGCCGCCGAGCCACCCCTCTCGGTGGCCGCAGCCTGGGCCCAGGCGCGCCACTCAGCGGCCCTCGGCTGCTTGTCCTGCATCCAGCGCCGCTTCGCCTCCTCCTGGACGAACTGCACCGTCAGCTTGCACGATGAGGAGCTGAGCAGGCCCACCACGCGGGCGACCGACAGCCCTGCGAGCGGGCCTTCCTCTGGCCACTCGAGCTCGAACGCCTGCAGCACCTGGCGCTGCTTGCGCAGCGGCGCCGTGCAGCGACCTCCTGGCGCCGCCTCCTGCAGCGCGCGCCAGCTGGAGCACGCCGCCGCGAACGACATCCAGCGTCTGCAAGCGGCGCCGACATTCCTCTTGAGGTCCTGCTTCCAGGCCACCTCCATCTTGACCCTCTGCGTGCGCAGCCCGCCTGCGCGCCCTTTCCAGCGGCTGGGCGGCGCGATCTCGTGGAGGTCGATCAGGTAGGCCTCCACCGCCTCGAACCACTCCTGGCAGCCAACCTTGAGCGACTGCTCGCCGCCTGGACTCCAGGCCGAGAATGCGCGCTCATGTGGCGCTGGCCTTACTGGCGGCGGCAGCGGCAGCGGGAAAGCAGCAGGGGAAAGCGGCCGCTGCACCCTCGCCGCTGGCCCTACGCCACGGAGCACCACCTTCAGCGGCACGTGGTCCCTCGTCGGCGCCTGCAGCAGCACCTCAACCGTCTCCACGAAAGCCCGTGAGGACCTTGCTGACGACAGCGAAGTCGAAGACCTTCGAGCCGCAGGTCGGCTCCCCTGGGGCGACGAGCGCAGCGCCCACGCTGCGCGCCCACTCTCGGACGTCCTCAGGCTCCATGTTCCAGCCGCCCATCACAATCCACGGCGACTCCAGCTGCCCCACGTACTCGTGCAGCGCCGCCAGGAGCCCGATGTTCTCCTTCGCCCTGCCTATCTTCGTGATGAAGTAGGACGAGATGACACGGCACGGCTCCCTGAATCCCAGGTTCACCTCGCACACTTGGAACCGATGGGCTGGGGGCCCTGGCGCAGCGGCGGCCGCCGACGGCCGCAGCGTGGCCACAGCCGCACCACCCGAGCTCTCCAGCGGCCCAGGGCCCGTCGCCAGCGCTGCCTGGCCGTGCCAGCTGAGGCCGCGCGCCTGCATCCAGCCCGCAGCGCGGGCCACCGCCTGCTTACCCTTGAGGCGGTGCTCCTGGAGGCAGAGCACCTCAGGCAGCCGCCCCGCGCCGTCGTGCAGCCACTCGACCAGCGACTGCGCCGAGCCCCACGCGGTGGGGTTGGCCGACACCAGCTCCACCGCGTCCGCCGCCTGCGGGCGGCTACCCCGAGGCTGGGCCTGACACTCGCTGGCGCTTGGCCAGCGCTGCGCGCCAGGCTGCGCGCTGCTGCTCGCCCTCCATGCCCACCTCGTCGAACACGGCATCGAGCCCGTCGAGCTCGGGGCCCAGGTCGAGGTCGCCGACGCGCTCGCGGTCCCCAGGAGGACCAGCAGCGCCGTCCACATCGCCAGCGGCCACGGGAGCAGCCTCCTGCGCGGCGGCGGCCCGCTCGGCAGCAGCAGCAGCCGCGCGGGCCCGCTCAGCCGCCGCTGCCTCGCGGGCACGGGCGTCGGCGGCGGCGAGCTTCTCCGCGAGGCAGCGGGCCTCCGCGGCCATCGCGAGCAAGGCGCCGCCCTCCTCCCCGAGCAGTAGCACCCGCTCCCGCTCCGCCTCGAGGCCCTCGAGGCCCTTGAGCAGCGCCTTGCCCAGGTCGCCCGTCTCCTCAGGCTCGCCCACCTCCATGGGCGACGGCCCTGTGTGCTGCGCCGGGCCGGCGCGCTTCCCGGCGCGCACCGCCTCGGCCACCTCCTCCAGCTGGTCGCGGCGCTTCTGGAGGACGCCCTCCTGCTCCGCCACGCGGGCCGCGACGGCCTCCTGCTCCTCCTTGACAGCCGCCAGCATGGCCTCCGCGCGGCCGACCTGGCCCTTGACCTTCGCCTCCCTGGCCAGGAGGGCCTGGAGTGACAGCTCGGCCAAGGGCTTCGCAGGCGGCGGCACGTCGGCCTCTGGCACCAAGGCCCCGAAGTCCTGGACCAGGGCCGCCGACCAGCCCTCCCTGGGGCCAAAGTGGCGGAGGAGGGCCAGGCGGACCTCCTCGTCCTTGCCGCCGCAGCTGCTGGGCTTCTCCTCGGCCGCCTGCTTGGCCGCGCCCTGCGCCCACGGCGCCGGCGTGGCCGCGGCGGCGGACGGGCCAGGCCCATCCGCGGCGAACCGCACACGCTTCGCCACGGCCTTCGCCTTCCCTTTGGCCTTGACCTTCTTGGCCCTGTCGATGGCGTCGCCGATCGTGCCAGCGCCCCTCGGCGGCCGCGCCGCCTGGCAGAGCCTGCACACCGTGCGCCACGCCATGTTGCTGTAGCCAGCTGCACACGCATTGCACGCCCAGGGGTCGCCACCCTGGCTGGCACCACGTGCGCCTCCAGCAGCACCATTTGCCATCGGCCCGGGGGGCACGCCGCTTCGAAGTATGCACCCGCAAGAGCGAGCCCCGCGCTCGCCCCGAAACGGCTGGATAAGTGAGCAGGAGGAGGAGGAGGAGGAGGAGGAGGAGGAGGAGGAGGAGGAGGAGGGCAGCGGTGTGGGCGGCATCTTGACTGGTACCCAGAGCTGCGTCTGCAGGTGCAGCTGGCCTACGGCATCTTCGTCGCGATCCCCCTCGTGCTCGTCAGCGTCGAGCCGCTCGTTTGGCGCTGGGAGGACGCCGGGGGTGAACCCAGTCGAGAGGAATTTTCCAGGAGGAGGAGGAGGAGGACGAGGAGGAGAAGGAGGAGGAAACGAGAAGGAGGAGATGGGGAGAGGGAAGTGTCATGAAGGACGTGGGTTGTAGGACGTGGGTTGTAGGACGTGTCATGAAGGAAGAGACGAGAAGGAGGACGAGGGTTGCAGGACGTGGAGGAGAGAAGAGGTGTTGGAGGAGGAGGAGGAGGAGGACGAGGACGAGGACGAGGACGAGGACGAGGACGAGGACGAGGACGAGGAAGAGGAGGAAAACGAGGAGAACGAGGAGAACGACGAGAAGGAGGAGATGGGGAGAGGGAAGTGTCATGAAGGGGAGCGGGGGGTGACAGGGGGAGGGAGGGCAGGACGAGGAGCATGAGGGGAAACTCGGGCAGGAGGACGAGGCCGAGCAGGAGCAGCAGGTGTGGGGGCGCCGCGCCAGGCACGGGCCTCTTCGAAGCTCTGGGGGCCCTGCCACCGAGACTGCTCGCTCCGCTCGCCGCGAGGGCCTCGCGCCGACGGACGCCCGTCGCAACCGATGCATCCAGGACTAAATGGGGGCCTTGCCAGTCGCCTCTGGAGGCCTCTCTGGCGTCCAGGGGCCTCTGGAGGCATCCCCCCCCTCCTCCTCCTCCTCCTCGTCCTCCTCCTCCTCCTCTCTCCTCCTCTTCCTTCTCCTTCCTCTTTCCTATTTCCTCCTATCCTCCTCCTCCTCGTCCGCCCTTCTCCTCCTTATTTCTCTCTCCTCCTCCTCCTCCTCCTCCTCCTCCTCCTCCTCCTCCTCCACATCCTCGTTTTCCTCCTCCTCCTCCTCCTCCTCCACGATCCTCCTCCTCCTCCTCCTCGTCCTCCTCTTCCTGACCCAGGCGCCGAGGGAAACGGGCTCTGTTTCCCCCCCCGCCCCCAAAAAACAGTGCTTGCAGGTCGAGGATGCCATGCCTTCGCCAAGGCGCAGGGCCTGCGGGCCGCTCTGGCCGCCATGTGGCTGCCGCCTCGTCGCCACCCGCTGCCGCCCGTCCCCGGGGCTTGCGGGCCGCTGTGGCCGCCGTGCGGCCGCCTCGTCGCCGCCCGTCGCCTGTGCCCGTGGGCCGCTCTGGCTGGCTGGCGCTTTAAGGGCTCGCGTTTAGTATGAATAGTTTTCCGTTGTTTTTTACTCCCGCCTGGCGTTTCGTTTCTTGCCCTCCTGTCCTTCCTCAGCGTTTCGCTTCTGGGTTCTAGTCGCGCCCCCTGGCTCTGCGACGACGCGCCGTCTGTGTTCTGATGATGGGGGGGTGGGGGGGATGGGGAAGAGGTGAACGAGGGAGGAGGGGGAGGAAGGAACAACACCGCTGGGGGGGAGCGATTATGGGGGAGCAACCGAGCTGCAAGTGGGAGGGGGGGGGGGGGGGCAGGAGTAGGAGTAGGGGCAAGAGGGCGGGGAGGAGGAGGACGAGGTGGACGAAGGAAAGGAGGTTTGAGGAGGAGTGGGAGGAGGGGGAGCAGGGCGACGCGGAGGATGACGGAGGAGGCGGGGGATAACGCTGGAACACGTCCGTGCAGGAGGGGGCGGGCGAGGAGGAGGATGGGGGAGGGGAGGGGATTTTTCCGACACGTGCCAGAAACGTTCATAACGGACCCAGCAAGGGAGGGAGGGTATTTGCAACATGCGCAAACAAGGACATTGCACAATAGCTTACGAGTGCTCAGGTCAGGCCCTGGGGCCGCGCTTGTTGGTTCCCAAAGCCTCACTCCCACTTTCTTCCGCTAGTCCCCTTTCCGTCCTCCCAATTACTCTTCCCTTTCCCCCTTCCCCCCTGCCCCTCCTTATCCCTCACCCCTTCCCCGCCTCCATTTTTTCTCGCCCCTTCAGCACTCTCTCCGCCCCCCCCTCTCCTCTCCATCCTTGCTCACCCCCTTTCCTCATCTTGCCGCGTTATTCTCGAGCCGCCGAGCCGCCCGCGGGGGGCGCGCGAGGCGAGCCGCCGCGCCGCCTGCGGCGCGCCGCGCGGCGGGGAGCGGGCGAGTCGCCGCGCCGCGCGAGCGAGGCGGGCCGCGCGGCGGCGGGCGGGCGAGCGAGCCGCCGCGCCGCCCGCGGCGCTCGGCGAGGCTTAGCGAGTCTCTTGCGTGGCCTCTCGCGCAGCGGCTGCATCAGCTGATGCCGTCGCGCGCTGGCAAGGCGCAGGCGTTCTCCCGATGGAGGGTTTTCTTCAGGGGGGCGCCGGGTGAGGCCAAAAAGGCAATTCAGGCGGTTTCACCGAAAATTGCTTCGCGAAATTCGCGATTCGGCGCGGCGATAGCTATCCTCGAAACTGGCAGCACATGGATGCACCTGGGGCTGTCAGAGCCTCGTAAGTATGATAGTGTTGTAGGATACGTGACCGTGTCGGGCGTTGTCGAGTCGGACTGCTTCACTATACTCCCTGATTCGGTGATTGACGATGACAAAACGATTGTTCCGGGGGGCGATGGTGGCGAATCGGCCCTTGTCACCTCGGCTGCTGACGGGCCGTCATGTTCGGAACCCTCGGCGACCGCCTCCCTGAAAAGCGCCCCAGCTGCATCAGCTGGAGGCCCATCGGCTGCCGCCTCGCAGAGCGCCCTGGCTGCATCAGCTGGAGGCTCCTCGGCAGCCGCCTCGCAGAGCGCCCTGTCTGCACCAGCTGGAGGCCCCATGGCAGCTGCCGCCCAGAGCGCCGAGGCTGCACCAGCTGGAGGCCCTCTGGCGGCTGCCTCCCAGAGCGCCGCGGCTGTGCCAGCTAGAGGCGTGCAGCTGCCTGCGCCCGCCTTGGCGCTTAAACTGCATGACCTTGCTCTTCGAGGCCGCCAGCCCGCGGAGGACGCGCTGCAGCTCGGCGCCCTGCTTGGCGAGGGGACTTTCGGCAGGGTCTTCCGCGCCGAGGCGCGGGGCCAGTCTGGCCCATTCGGCCCGGTCGCGGCCAAGATCTTCTTCAGTTGGATGGACGGGCGCAGGGAGGCGATAGCTGCCGCCTCCTTCCCTCCACACGCCAACGTCATCCAACTGCCTGCGGCAAGACACCGCCGCCGCGCCTGCCCGCGTTGCGCATCTTTTGCCGTTCTCCGTAACCCGCAGAGCGGGATCCGCACGGGCTCTCTCGGGGCCTCTTGGGGCCTATCTTGGGGCCCTTGAGCCCGATGAGGGCTCCAAGAGGGTTTCCGCGCCAGTCCTCCGTCGCGGGACGGACGCCCCAGGGAGAGACACCGAAGGAACAGTTTTTGGCGAACACGCCTTCTTAGGTGACCCCCCGAGGGGGAGGGGGGCAGAGTGCGCCAAAAAGTGGCACAACGTATATGCACGAGTTTGCATTTTTGAGGAAGGCTCTTGGGGTTCTTCGGGGGAGCCTCTTCGGGCCACATTGGGCTCTCTTGGGCCCTCTTGGGGCCCATCTTGGGGCTCAGTTGGGCCAGGGCTCCAACATGGTTCCCGAACTCATGCGGCTACAGTAAATGGGATGATTTCTGCTGCGGGACGGATGTCCTGAGGGGGGCCCAGGGGCCGCTCTTCGAGGGGGGGGGTACCTAAGGATAATATTTTGGCAAATGTGCCTCCTTCAGTTAACCTTCGGGGGGGGGGGGGGGGGGCAGAAGGGCACCAATATGTGCACGCAGTATGCGCACGAGTGTGTATTTTTTGTTTTGTTTTGGGGGGGGGGGCTCTTGGGGCCCTTTCGGGGGCCCTCTTGGAGCGTTCTTTGGCTCGCTTAGGGTTTCTTGGGCCTTCTGGGGGCCCTCTTTGGTTGTTGGCGGCTTCTTCGGCGCCTTTTCGGGATTACCTCGGGGCTTCGGGGATGGGGAGGGGAGGTCGGGAGGGGTCCGAGAGGCGGAAATATCCGGCGTCGGGCCCCTTGGCAAAATCCAGTCCCCACCAGACAACGGATGCACCATTTCCATGAACCCAAACGTGCCGAGGGCACTGGCGGATTCGATTGTTGGACGTCGTCGTTCACGACGGCAAGATCGCGCTCGTTTTTCCAGCTGCCTGCGGCCAGTCCCGCCGCCGACACTCCGCGCCCCCTTCCCCCCCCCCCCCCCCAGGTGTGCAACAACGGAGCATGTGACGCGAGCTTTCTTGGAGTTTGGGGTGTGATTTCTCGTCCGCGTCCTCGTCGGCGCCCCCTTCGCTTCCTCGCTCATCCTTCTCCTCCTTGTTTCTCCCCCTTCTCTCGGAGCTATGTGGACGCGCCGCCATGGTGTCCTTGGAAGGCATCTTCGGGCCCTGGTTCCTCCCCTGGGGCCGAAGGCTTGTTGCGGGTCGGCCGGGGCCACGTCGGGATTTGTCGGGACCCCCTTGGGCCGCCTGGGCGTTTTCTTGGGTCTTCGGGTGTTTTCGGGGCCCACTTTTTTATTTAGGCCGTCCTGGGGCTCGACTGGGGCCCTGCGCGGACTTCTCGGGGCTCTCGCGAGTCGGTTGGAAGGTTCTTGGGCCGTCCACGGGCCGTCGGGGCGATCAGAGCGAGCTAGAACGCTCATGTTCTAATGATTGTCGGGGGCGTCTTCGCCAGAACGGATTCGCTCCAGCGAGCGGGGTTCCTCGGGCGAGCTAGAACGTCCCCGTTCTAGTGGTCGGCGGGGATGCCCTTCGCTAGAACGGACTCCTTCCAGCGAGCGGGGTCGCTTTTGCAACGCAGGATGCGCTCCTGGGGGTCTCCTAGGACGCCCTGGGGTTCTTTGGGGCCTCTTTGGCCGTAAGGGGCGCCTGGAGCGGTCTCGGGTGTTTTTGGGCC